CTCCTACCCAAACTCGCCGTGTAAACGCATGCAAATCTTCTTCGGGGTTGATCCTATAGCTGCAGTTTACGACGACGACGATGCCTAAGATAAGTGCTGATGACAGGTACCAACGTGTTAATAAGTACAAACTTTTCAACCGAAGTAAAAATATGTAAACGACGCAAAATGAAATCATTACCGACACGCTTGCTGAAGCATTTTAACTACCCAGGTAGGTGTGTTGTATTTGTGTATATTAATATTCATAAATACTGAAAAATTAATTGAACAGTGGCAATGATTAATGCACCTACAGTCATGTCAAACGTTAATAATTATTTAACATTTCATCTGCACATTATAATACAATAATAATATGAACATAATATATTGTTTTATACTCGGTGATTCTGATAAACTGACCAAATGACACGTGGCTGGCGCTGACAACAACTATATACAGTATAACGACCGAATGATGAATTCGCTTTCACTGTTTGTTTAATTGAAATCGAAATTTTACAGAATTAATTATTATGGAATACTATTTCCACGTAGCATCAGCGGAGTAGGCACTTCTGTTCGATAATAATAATAATAATAATAATAATAATAATAACAAATCGTGTTAACTCGGTTCCAACACGTCATACAGCACATTAATTATTATTCGGTATTCGATTGCTGGTGGTTGTTTATAATCTACACAAACATAATAACATTATTTTTTTTTACAATTGTCATATTATCATTATTCGCGTACAGTAATGACAGAAAAAAAAGTGTGCACCTAAGGGCCGCCCGCGAAACTGACTCGATGAGAATAAAATATAGTAGCCGACGAGGCTGTTAGTTATTTTCTTGTGATACCTACTTAGAGGTACCTACCAGACGGTATATTAACGCTGACGACTCGACTTGTGTTATGTTACTATCAAACCGCAGACTCTGGAATTAGATAAGATGCTGCACCTATCCCACCCATAGTATGTACCGCATAATATCGTGAATCAAACCAGTTGCGTCGAGGAGTGATGTAATATTTTTTTTGGTCGAAATGCGGTTTTTTATTTCTCTAGGTCACCCGGTTCGTTATTTACGCATTGTATAACATCATAATACAATATCATAAGGCAATATTATAATGGTCGCTTTACGGTAACGCGACAACCGAACATTCTCGCTACAGTCGTCCGTACCTATATAATATTATAATATATGCCCGCCAGATATTAGGTACCTACATTATATTATTAAAATCGTATATACCTACCGCGATTATGTGATCGTAGTTTTTCGGGGAACCCCTCGACTCTGGAGGAGAACTTTTTTTCGTCCTCATAATAATATATAGGTACTCTGTCTGCTGAGGCGGCCGTATAAAAACAAAAACAACGACGTCTATCGGTTTCCCATATCACGCACATACCGTTCCCTCTCGCTTTCACCCCCCCCCCCCCCCTCTCACTCACCCTCTCGACCACTCTCTCTCTCTCTTTCCACCGCCTTTCTCTCTCGGGGCATTAACTTTATTAGGAGCGCGGACTGGTGAGCGCGTGTCCCGCACGTGCACCGGGCCGCGCTAATCCCAGTTTAGTCACCTCGACGTAGCCGCTGGAGCACCCGTAATACCCGATTATCGTCGTCAGTGAGCCGCTCTAGCGCGTGCGCGTGCTTGTGTGTATTTAGGGGATGAAAAAAATAAAAAGCGAAAAAATAAAAATAAAATACTGCGAACGCCGCACGACGACGATCTTTAGTTTTGATTTCGCCGCGTAATCCGATTATCTTTTGGTGACATTTTGGCACCGTTAAACGCACTTTTGCAGCACCCACACAAATCGGGCCCGCTTGCGCACTGTGTGTGAGAGAGAGACACACACACACACACACACACACACACACACACACTGCAAACGCCGAGTCGAGTGGGCTCGAGGAAAGGTGACTTCACCCCCCCCCTCCCCCCACCCAATGGCAAACCGTATAATCGTGATTTAAGTCACGATTCGTGGGAATTTCATTTCCCCTATATTATACGTATTGTATAACAATATATTATGCACACAGACACACATACTGCACACACACTATCGTTAAAAAAATATGTAGGTACATGTGAGCATTGGTCGAATATACTTATATAGATAGCCCGAGTGACGTTTTATATCAAAAAAAAAAATCTGTTAACATAAGTATAATCATACTTTGGGAGCCTGAAGCAATGAAATCAGAGAGAGCTTGACGTGAAGTTGTGAATAGATTTCGACACAATGACAACCACGGTAGTAACCATGATCGTCACTACAAATTACAATACATTGGTACCTATGCACCAATGGTTTATTTACCACAGTCTCATATATGTTATATCTATATTCTATACATATTACTCGGAGGGGATGCGTACATCAATCAGTTTTCTAGATATCCTGAACAAGGGGGATTATACCATTAATTAATACAGTTAATAGATTATCCCTTATTTTTTCAATATTAATTGTAATAAAAATTATTTGAATCTAAATATATTTGGTATATTAGTTAAATTAGGTATAAGAAAATTTGAGTGTACCTACTAAGAAATCAAAATAATTAAAAAAAAAAAAACAAAATTGTCTACGAATAGCCCAAAAAGGCCAAAATATTTTCAAAGTTATATTTAGATGTATTTAGATGAGAAGAGTAGTTGACCAACTTTTTTCTGTGCACTTTACTTTTCTAATCTAAGCTTTTAATAGGTACTTACAACTATAATTAACTACTCGTTGGATATTTGACTTTTATCCATCGAAATAATTCAAAAAAATATTCTTTGGAATATGAAATGAAAACAGATATGAAAATGGATTTGAAAACGGTGACCATTTAGTTGGCTCCAAATTTTGGGTAAATATGAAGTCAACACACTACAATAATTATATCAAAGGATTTTAAGATTTACGATTGAAATTGTTGTATATAAATGGTTGCTATTGGTTAGTGGTTACAGCTTACAGTATTATTATAGTTAATTGTTTTAAAATATTAAACGGAATAATTATTGGTATAAAAGATGTTTTAAATTAATTTCTATAAAAGTATATAGAGTTGGCATTTTTAACGGTCAACGAAGTGCACGGAGTCAGCTGGTATTTATATATATTTTATCAAATAATAGATAGTTATTGATTTATATACACTAATTTGTATTTCGTTGTTAATATTTGACCACAGGAATTCATTATTTTACTAGACTAGTTGTAGATACTATGTGTTCCTGGCGAGTGCGTAAAATTAATTTTAATAGTTAGTCATAAATACGAGTATTGTTTTCAAAATTCCTCCAAAATAGATTACAACGATATAAACGAGGATGCATTACAAATCTAAAAGTATTGGGTAAAGAGGATGTCACGTAGGTAATATTATGTACGACGCGTTCGGCTTAATAATTGCCCGAGTTTTAATTTTTAAAATTATTGTTTACCTTTTATTTTTCCACATTCTTGTGGGATTTTTTTACTTTACTAATTTATTAAATAATTTTTTGTAAAAAAATATATATATGAAGATATATAATATGACTCTCAGTGTAATGATGTAAAATATACTTATAAAACTTATTTTGTCATCATGTTTGTGACTGACATCAATTTATTACTCTAGGACATAACGTCAACTTTTAATTATTAGTAATATAGTAAGCAATCTATTTTTGAAAAACCTACTTATTGAAGGTACAATATTGACTACCTGTATTTGGGAGCCAATTCAATAACGCTTGTGAAAACATGGTTTGTACAAATTAATATTGTAATATTATTTAATTTTTAATTTTTGTTTATTATTTTGTTTGATTTTGTATTAATTCTGTAAAATGCTTAATTTCATTTTGTTTTATGAACTCAACTCATCTGCATACAAGTCAATGCTTAGGATGAGCTAATATAGTTCATCCTGCAACTTTTGTATACTGAATACATATTTCTATGACATTTATAAATTGTTGTGGTTTCAATAAATATTATTGTTATTATAATACTATGGAAGCTGTGAGGCTACTACAAAAAAACAAATTTTCATTGAGAAACAGGAGTCATATTAGCTATTCACCTATTGGACATTTTGAATTTTTTTCGTATTTTCCATTAAACTATTAAAGATGAACGCATATTAAGTCATCAAAATTTTAAAAACGTTTAAACACAGATAATGTTTTCCTCTATAAACTGTGAAAATTTGATGATTTTACAACAACCCCAAGACTAGCTTTGGTCTCAATTCAAGGAAAACAATTTTTGTTTAAAAAAAAAAGCACTCGCGGATATTGTACACTCGATCGACACATATAGAGCAGCGCATTCTACTGGTCAATATTATGGTTACTTCCAACCGGGTAGAGTTCTCTTAAATTGATCACTTAATATAATATATTATTCTATTATAATACGTCCAATTAATTATATCTCACACGATAAAGTCTGAGACAAGGTTTTAACGGTGAAAAGTTTTTTCAATATTAATATAATCTCGCTATGTACACTGGAAATCGCTAAAATAATGTCAGATAAAGGTCCTGTGCTAGAGAAATAGATAAGTAAAAAATGAAATATTTTTTAATTAAGACAAATACTCCGCATATAAATGTGACAGTGCGTTTGACTCGAGGCATTACGAATTGCAGCGAAAGATTATTAAAAAAAAAAAAAAATTGGTACCTACGTAAAACGTAAGTAAGTGTACCTTACACTGTACGCTCTATAACGTGCTCAGATCATACGAATCGTATTACAGGAAGTATATATATATATATATATAAATGATATTGTATTAATATATATTATTTACATTGTTCTCGTAGGTATTATAGATAAAATTATATGTGTACGAAATTGTAAACGTTATCTTACATTATCAGTTTCCTAAAGTATGTATAAAACGGAATAAAATACTCAGTGAACGTTTTGACCACAAGTCAAGTGTACCTACATACCTACTGTTTTTCTTATTTTTATTCTTAACGGAATTGTTTAAAGATGAAACGATTTATTTCTATATTTTTAATAGTGATCTGCACTCTGTCTGTTTTTCAAGTAAGTTGTAACCCGGTAACCATATCTATACCTATTGTTAATTTTTACTGTACCTAGTTATTTTTATTATTTTAAAGTTATTTTGGTTTTTAAAACCAATAATCAGATCATTATTTATATATAGAACCTCTACTTGGTTCTTTATATTTTAAATAATATTATGTTTTTCATAAAAATAAAATATCAGTACCTACATTTATTTATCTATATATTATATAACAATGTAGAGTGAAAATGTCGTTATACCTCATCAATCGAGAACGACTGGTCCGATTTGGCTCAGATCTTTTTAAGATGTACTTAATTGCCAGGAGAAGGTTTTTAAGAAAGAAAATTTTAGGAAAATCCACCGGAGAAGTAGGAAATCTGGATGTAAAAAATACAACAGTGGCGCAACAGAGTATTATATATTGGTTGCTATTGGTTAATCGGGCATGTTAGTTGATTTGTATTATTATTTTTGTCAATATATATATATATATATGTAAATTAATGTTTGTGTGTATATTAGACCTCTGGGAAGAAGACAGGCCAATTTAAAAATGGTTAAATTTGGTTTTTTTTTATTCATCTGATATTAGTACGGTTAGGTTAGGTTAGGATTTTGTATTAATTGATTATATTAATCCAACATAGGTGGAATACGACAAACTTGGTATAACATTGATACTTTAGAGTTAAATCATACACTTACGTACAAACAGCACGGGGTCCGACCTGATAATATACTGCTGCAAATCAGAATTTTTATTTCGGTAAACGGAAAAGTTAAGATAAATTTTGAACACCATACACCAAATATTAAATAACAAATTGAACAAAGTTTGAGTAATATAGAGTTAGTACATTTAACGAGGAACGAAGTGCACGGGATCAGCTAGTTTTATATTTTATATTACATTATAGCTATAGTATCGTAAATAATAGTTTATATTTTATTATTTTAACCATCGATAGAGCAACTTAATATATAATTAAGTTAACTTATTATATAATATTATAATAAGTAACAAATAAATTAAAATATATTTTTCAGAATGGGCGTGTATCTGCTGGCAAATGTATTATTTGCAAATTTGGATCTATTTTGACACCTCTAAATTCATCGGTAACAACAGTAAGTAATTTATCAACTTATTGGACATACGCTATTTTTATAATTTAAAAAAAATTAGATAGATAGATAGCTTAGGAATTTAGAAAGCTAATGATTGACAATTACGTCAACGTTTAATTATGACTGTATTATACAGTAAAGGACTATAAAAAAAATTCGGCTTAGGAAAACCATATGTGACCAGCCCTCAAATTTGTTTCGTCACTGATGAATTTAGTGACTTTCTTTGGGTATAAAATATTTATGCTTATTTTGAAATTGTATAGAACGTGTTGCCCTCAAATTAGTAATTACTAAACAAAATTATTCATATTTTGCAATTGAAAAAAAAAACAGATTATTATATTAAATTTAAAAAAAAATTGAAGTGTTTACATAGTATTTCATCTAAAGAATCACTTTGATTTTTAATAATGACAATAAAATGAGTCTTCGACACATTCAATATATTTTTATCTAAGGCCATAAATATATAAGGCCAGGACCATAAAGCCAGGAATGTTGTCTAATTATAATAAATAACAGTTCACTGTCCACGGCGAGTCAAGGCCCGACGGGAAAAGTCTCGCGTGCATAGTCCGCCACTAAACTATTATATTATTATTATTATTTTTAAAACGATTGATAATATCGAAAACATTACTCGCCTATATTATACATATTTTTAAATTTTTTTGAATAACTCTTATTATATTATATAATATAATGTGTTATTTCAGAAACTAAACACCGATAGACAGCTCAAGTCAAGACACTCGATGACATTGTCATTAGAAAATTCGATTTCAGTAAAAGCTGTAAGTATCCGTTTGTTATATTATTGTACGGACATTGTAATCCAGACAACTTATAATGTATAATAATATACATTTGGCAATCGTAGGTGCGTTAAGGCGAAACTTAACACGAATATTTTTACAGACCTTGGACCATCATACGGAAAAACATTTGCCAACGTCCACAAAGTCTGACGAAGACCTCATAAAACCCAGCTCTCCGACTACACTGGCCGACATGTCACCGGAAGACAAGGAATCCTTCGTCTCAGTCTTCACGTCCATGTACGGTCATCTGACGGATCCAATCCCATCCGACATGGTCGTCAACTTGGTCGGCGTGTTCGGGTGCTCGCCAAAATTGTTCTACACACTTACACAACCGACCCTCAACTCGGCACTGTCGATATTGGCGGTCAACCAGTGCGCACTGCACCAGGTGCCCCCGAAGGACAGTGGTCTGTTCTTGAAAGGATTGCTGTCGCTGTCCCCGGGTGTCCTGAACAGCATCCCGAAGTCCAGTTTCGTCTCAATACTCGGGATGGTGTCTTCCGCCGATTTTTTCGACGACATACCGCAGTCGTCGACCTACAATTTGATCACCGCTCTGTCGATGTCCAAATCCTCGGTCAACTGTCTGCCTTTGCAGACCCTACTGTCGTTGTTGTCGTTCATCGCATCCCAATCGCACACGGAATATTTGATGAAGTTGCCCCCATCTACTCATTTTGGTTTTCTGGGCGGCCTGTTGGACACCTTGGACGACTCTTCGCCTTTTCTGGTGAACACGATACCCACTTCAGTGCTCGTCACCATCCTCAGTCCTGTAATGAGTTCGCGGGTGTTAAGCGTATTGCCGATCAGCAGTTTTGACTCGCTCGTGTCGGTCCTCGGTTCGTCACAGGCGTTGTCAAAAGACTTGCCTGTAACACATTTCATATCGATGATTAATATCTTGATAACTTCCCCAAAAATATTGAGCTCGTTAAATCCCAATAATTTGGCGAAAATGTTATCCACTGTGGCGACGTGTCCATCGATATTCGACAGTCTCCCTTCGACTTTGATGCGCCAACTGTTTGAGTCTATATCCGTTTACTTACCGTCTTCTCTGGCGTGTATCACTGCAAACGAATATTCGATATTGTTCGGGAAAAAAAATTAGAAAACATCATTTGCGTATTTTTTTTATTTTCAATGCTAAATATTTATATCATATTAAATATTTTATTTTGAATCAGTTCAAATATCTGTGTTATATTTTATACTTAAGGTTTCTTGATTTTTTTTTTTCTATATTTTACTGTATTGTATGACTACCCTTTTTAAACTATAATACTGTAAGTTATAAGTACATTTTTTTATTATCATTTCATTTGGATTTGTATTACAATATTTTTTTTTTATATAAGATCCGCAATGCATAAATCTGTACCTACCTAAGATGTATAGGAGTTGAAAATATAATTTTATATAATTTATTTTGTTCTCTGTTCGTTGAATGTCATATTGGAATCACATAGCTGCAAATATCTACTTTTAATTTAAATACTAAACTTAGTTAAGTATAAAATGCATAAATACAATTTATATAAAACCGATACACATAATAAATTACTAATGATAATCCTGAATGAGAAATGCAAGGGTCGTGTTTCTATACTATTATTTTTTTTTTTTACCATTAGGTATTAGGTAGGTATGAATTTTATTTTTTCATAAGTATATTTAAATGCTGTTACTAGTATTAGGGGAAGCAACTTAACTTTTCTGTATTTCTATGGTGTCTGAATATTTAAAAAAAATACTAAGATTTATTTATTTAAGTTTCTCTCTTTTTACCAGCAACCCTTTACTGTACCTTAATTGAAAAAAATTAACTAAACTTTACTTATTTAAATTTGAATATTTTGACTAAGTTAAAACATGACGTTTTACTTACATTCCGTAAATTATATTATTGTATTTGTGAAATGTTTTTGTGACACTCACTTAATTAGTACCTAGTCTACATTATGAAAAAAAATAGTACTTGTTATAATTTACTACCTATTATTTACAGATATATAAAATTATATTATCAATATTATGGCGGTGTGAATGTGTGAGTGTGTGTTTGTTTATTTGGTTTTATTCTCAAATATCTTAATGCTTCATTATGAAATCATGGAAATGACTCATTTAAAAATGCATAAATAATAAATAAGTTGGAAAAATAAACATACATCATAATAATAATATTGCTCTCAAAATACGGAGGACAAGCATAACCTTAAGACGGCCCTATAGGTATCTCACACTATATTAATTTTGTTGTATTAACGTCAATCAGAAGTTTTGGAGATGTACACAAATCGCATATAGTCGTGGATAAAAATATCAGTACATAGTAGGTACATAGTAGGTACGTATCTGAATCATATAATATAAACACTCATCTGCAATTATAATACATATCTATAATCCATAAAAACATAACAAATGCATTGCTGATTACATTTATGAAATCACGATAAATAAACGTGAAGTTTTGAAAAACAAATCATTCACCATTTGAGTATAAAAGCTAAACAGCTCTGCTAATTAATATTATATTATTCAGCAGTTCTTCAAACAATTAAATACAAAATGAAGACTTTAAGAATTTTTTTTGCTCTGGCACTAGTCTCTTTGGCCAAGGTAAGAAATATTTTTCAATCTTGACGTAACATCCTCAATATTATCTAATAATTATTTTATTAACAAGGTTGAAGCAACTCATTGTGGGGGATCTCCATACCTTCCAGATCCTTGTCTAGATCTTTGTTTCGTGCCACCAGCACCACTATGTTTACCACCATACCCATCACCATATTTCCTACCACCGCCACCACCATGTCCTCTTCCCCTTCCTTGCTTACCACCATGCCCACTTCCTTGTCTAGCACCTCCATGTATTACACCTCCGAAATTGATACCAGTTCCACTATCACCTTTACCTTGTTTCTCTATACCATCATTATGTCCAACATACCCACCACCCTGCCCGCTTCCTTGCCTACGACCATGTCCACCACCATGCTCACTACCTTGTCTGGCACCTCCATGTGTTCCACTACCAAATTTGATACCAGTACCTCTATCACCTCTACCTTGTTTCTCTATACCACCAGTATGTCCACCTTGTCCACCATTATGTCCACCTTGTCCACCACCTCCTTGCTACTGTTAATACGGATTGACCTTAGTTATTAATGACAGTCATATATTTATTGTTTAATATGGTAAATTTCCACCTACATTAAATGCATAATTATTCAATTACAAACCAAAAATCCTGTTTTATATGTCCTTACATGTTGGAAACCATATATATTTGTAAACATTTCTCTATAGAAATGTAAACAAATTGTAATCAATTTAAAAAAATATACAAGGGGCACCTTATATCATTTATATGTTATTGTTGTATTAAATTGACAAATCGTACATATTGTAATATAATCTTGTTCAATTTAGTAAATATAAAATGATACTCTACACGACTTGTTGATAATCATTCAGTTAAGATTGTAATACTATGATCATTTATTATATTACGTATGTATGTTAACCTCGCAAAAATATAAATATTTTAATAAAATATCTGCAATAATGGTTTACATTTGGAGTCATATACCTACTATACACGGAGTACACGCAGTACATATACTGCCAGTGTTGTAAAATACTTTTAAAAAGTATTTAAAATACCACCCAAATACTATTAATAGTTAAGTACTTGAGTAATATTAAAATACTTTTTAATAGTATTTGAAATAATCATCAAATACAAAAAAAAAATTCTATTTAGGTAGTTATATATAATTTTTTAAAATCAAAACTTTGTTTATTGAATTTTAAAAACATGTTTCGTTCAATAATCAAAATGCTTATCACCCATGTTAGTTCTTTTTTAGTGATAGTTGCACCACAACAATGAACTCTTCTCTACAGAGAGTTATATATTAGTTTAAAGCTACATGCATTTGGAATTTGGATATCCCATACCACCATACCGTCATCCATCGTCTTTGACGATAAACGATAGTGAAAATATTGATAACGATTTTCTTTGTAAATAGGTAATAATATTTTCGTATTATTAAATTATAAAGTATGATAGCTGTTAAGCAAAAGCTTATTGCATAATATATAGTTTGTTATTGTCGTCGACGATAAACTGGTTCCTGCAGGTAAAAAACGTTATTTTAATTAAACTATTAATCAATTAATCGACGAAAACCAATATCAAATTGTCCATAAATGATAAATATATAATATAATGTTGTTGTAACGTTGAAGAATAAGGATAATCACGACGGCACGGTGATTGTTTATGATACATAAATCCATTTAACAATGAATATAAAATAATAGAAACAAATTAAGAATTTAAAGAAAAAAAAATAAGGGTAATGAAATTTTTTGCAAATATTGTCACACTATGTATGTATGTTTTACTTGAGCAATGCTGTTTGTAGGCATTTTAAATTTCAAGTGTTGATAAAAATTGTTATTTTAATGAAATTACCTACATAATAATATTATCTACCATCTTTTACAAACAAATAAACAAAAATTGTAAAAAAAAAAAAAAAAAATATACGACAAGGAAAACGGTCACCCATCCAATTACGTAGCAAAAAACCGATGGCTGAGCCGGAGGAAACTTGATAGAATCCCACGACCGCCAGAAGTTGTCCTTATGGTAATAGTAAGTGAAAGAAATAGGTTATTTAAGTTAAAATTTTATCTTTATGGTAGCAAAATAATTTAAATACTTTCTTAATTTTAAGAAATTTCTTTCTCTGTTTGTTTGTTATTTTTACCCGATTATATTGAAAATTACTGGAAAGGTTAACCCCCAATCATATCTATGAACTTCAAATATACCTACCTATCTATAAAAAATTATGTTAATATTCCTTGTAGATTTTTTTGGATTTCAGTAATAAACTAATAAGTAATAACTACTTACCTATGAGGAACTTTGTATTTAATTTTCAAGGCTTACAAGATATGAATAATTTGATGAATAATTTCTTGAAAATTTCAACTTTCTACGGTTATTCGTTTTTGAATCACAACAGAATAAGAAAAGCGTTAAGCAATAATTCGTTTTTTACGCCTAAATATTTAATTTCGTCAACATTTAAACTTCAGACGCTCATATATTTACGGACTTACAAAAATACTGTAATTTTATTGAAAATATTGCATTAATTATTATACCATTCATATTTTATTATAATAATTTATGATACTGTATATTTATATCGTATATTATCGTTATTAACTTGTCAGTCCATACTATAGATATAGATATGTGTGATTTAAGTTTCGTGGCATAAATTGCATAAAATTAATTCAATTTTTTTTAAAATTAATTGTGTAGATGTGGGTCACTATTCACTATATAAAACATAACAACATAAAATATAGTAAGTACATAAAAGTTTCAAATTTCCTAAAAAATATTTTTGAATTACTAGGTACAAAATAACTAAAATCTATATTTTTTATTCAATTTCTAGTTTTGTCCAAATTTTAACTCAAAATGTATTAAAAAAATATTGTCTTTATATACTTTATGATTTGTTGACGAATAACGTGAGGAACCTTGTGTTAAATAAAAATTAAATCTCGTCGAAATATTTTCTTCTATAAAAAGTGTCTTCAGACACAAAAAGGTGGGTAAGTGGATGTTGCTCTGCTGTATTCTGGATACGCTACTGCAGTAGGTTACAAGTGGGTCACTGTATAATGGTTGCTATTAAATTTGAATTCAATGATACAATATCATTGTATAAGAAAAACGATTCTGAGTGATGACGGTATGTCAGTCTAGGTTTAAGACAAATTATATACATATCGATGGTATTAAAAAAAAAAATTGACTTATAATAAATTTCAAATTAATCATATCACATTATCACAATATCCATTAGGTACTTATAACACGTTATACATCAACATCAATAACAAACCCTGATACTATCATAGATATATCATAGTACACTTTAGTAGTTTCAAGTAGGTACCCACGAATAATATTATATAATCACAACAAAATAACTAGGTTTTTTAATATGTAATTTCGTCCAAATTTGAACATAAAATGACTATAAAAATAAACTGTGATTG